CAGGAATGGTGACTGAGAACAGTTAAACCGGAGACCACACACAGAAACAAGGCGTCTACTGGCACATGTATCTGGCCCTGTGTACGTAGCATTGACTGAGGCTGTAAATACTGAAATAAAAAAAGAAAGCCTGGATGGCTTCTGGCTGTCTCTGTCATGCCCAGAACAAAGAAATCTCACCAAAAGACTTAAAGGACCCATCCATGACATGTAGAAAGTGTATCTTACAGTAAGAGGCTACTCATCTGACAAACCAATTACATGCATAAATGCTGGATTTTTACTATAACCTTCATGTTATCTCAATATTGCAGAATTTTAAAAAAATTAAAATTTTAACTTAAGCTTACACAGAATTGTTTGTCCAGGGCTAACAATTTCCTGTTTCCTCTACAGACAAAAACACTTTGGAGATAATGCAGACATTGGTATGTATCTAAACCAAACAGTTTCTCAATATAGCACCATGAATGGGTACACATCAGCAGTAAAAACAGAGCATCTTCAGCTGGCTTTGCCTGACTTGACCTGGGTGTGGAAGACATATCCAAGGAAGGACAGCAAAACACATTGGAAGAAAAAGGAGAATTTCAGTGTTAACTGAAGTAATAGCAGTGAAGGACCATTAGAAATGTCTCTAGAATTTCTCAAACCATGTGGGTGTGATAATGTCCATATTGCAATTAGTTTGGCAGGATGCTATATATAAAACACGGACCTGCTAGATCATTCCGTGAACTTGAGTATAAAGATCATAAATCTGAGCAACAAAAGTACCCCTACAGACACACACTTCTAACTCCAGAGCCACATTCAGAGTGGCACCTGCTAGGACTATCTTCTCCTAAGAAATATTTTTGTAAACCAGCTATCTGATCAGAAGTCTAAAAATCCGTATTTGCAGTGAACCCTTTCTAACATAATGGCCTATTTCCTTCTAAAGAAATGACAGAGATCTGGCCTTCATTAGCAGTACTCTTAAAACAGATTAATTTCACTGTACAAGCTTGTTTCTCTACACACAAAAGTAAGTACAGCCACTGTAATTTCATGTTGTCCTTTTTGTTCGGTCCTGTAATAGCTGCTCTGAGTAGAACTTGTAAGAATGTTCTTCTGTTCTAGCTACTTCTTAATTTCCTCCTGTTTAAACCATTTCACTTCCCCTAAAACATAGTTTTAAAATATAATTGGAAAGCTTGGGAGCAATAGAGCAACGTTTCTGAAAGAGAGGCTCTAACAACAGAACTGTTAACATTTCCACAATTACCTGAGGAGGGCAAGGCTAAATTATTTCTCTACGCTTCCCACATCAAACTGAAACAGGTGTCGATGGAAGAAAGGTAAGTGCATGACAGATGAAAACAAGCTCACAGCCAGAGGTAGGTCTGCCAAGAGTGACAAAGGAGGCAGAGGCAAAGAGGGACACTTTCAGGACTGTAGCTGTTTTGGAGTTCCTAATGTGGCAGGGAATCCTGCCTCATTGCTTCCCCCTTACCGGTCCATCGCTGGGTATTACTATGCTGCAGTGCTTTGCTGCACAGACATCTCCAAGTGGGTTGTTACGTGAGTCCCAGCAGAAATGTGGATGTTTGTTAAGAAGAAACCTCGCCCTGCAAACCCTACATTATGAAAAGACAAGCTAGGTAAAGAAGAGACACACAGAGAAGAAATTATTTGCTGAGTGTTACATGAAGACCTCCAGCTTTCCAACTCTACCCACTGACAAGAGGGAATTCATGTTCCCAGTCCTGCACAACACAGTGGAACACTGCTGGTCTTAGCAGAGGGTGAAAGAAGTTTTCTTTCACAGAGGATGGCATATCTGCCTCTTTAAATCATTTCCTGCCTCTCCAGCTCTCCCTTACTCAGGAACAGCTGCTCATGAACTCTCTCACAGGACCAGAGCAGCATTCTAGTTCATTCTCCCAGAGCGGCGCAGTTTTACCACTACGCCAAACCTTGGCAAACTATTCCACTGAGAAAGGGCATTAAGAGCAGAATGTGTGAGAATGAATTCCACAGGACAAAAGGAAAAATTAAGTAACAGTAGCCCAGTGTGATCAGTTAAGCTCTTTCGCAATCAGTGAGGGAAAATGTTACCAACTCTTAATCACTAATGTAGGCAAAGGTGTTCTTGTTCATACACTAACTACTGAAAACGTAGGAGCTTGAAGGGCAGATTTTGTGAGCAGTGGAAATGCTGGGTAACAGAAATGGTATCTGCCCAGACCTGAGAAAAGCACCCCCAGTTGGATGCAGCAGTTAAAAGCTCATGTAACTTTGATAGTAATTCCCTGCTGCTACCAACTCTGAAATCTGCAGCTGCGCTTTCAAATACCCTTTTTAAACACCAAAAAAGGAATTACAAAAGCTAGAGAGACAGAATGTCTAAAATTATAAAGCCAACAGGAATCAGAAACATTTATAATCCCCAAAATGGGTATCATATATTCAAAGTGGTAAAACACAAAACATAACTTGGAAAAAATGACAAAACTGAGTAAAAACCAAAACTCTTGCTTCTTTATTTCATCAGTTAACAGAATGATTTTGCTGATATATCTCAAAGCAACTTCTGAACAGAAATGGAAGTAATCAAAGGCAATTGATTCTTTCTTAGAAAAGGAAAAATAACAACGGGGAGTATGCCACAGGAAATGGGTTAATTGTACTTTATTAAGTGACTCTAACCAGATGTTGCACAGCAGCTCATTAAACAGACAATGATTTAACGGATTTCCTCAGCTGCAATTATAGAACACAGATTAACAAAACTGCACTTTGCTACCTACTGCACAGGTAGCTCTTTATTTAAATTAGTTTCGCATGCCATTAAAGCTACTCAGCTTTTTGGCAAACTGCAGATTTATAGATTGGCATATTATTTGCAATTATTGCTAACTGTGAGGAGCAATGATGGCAATATCTCTGGAACACATCTGTTGCTGACACTATTCAATGTGACAATTTAATGGCCAACAACTGCGTACTTGTTACTGAAGTACCATTTCCCGTAAGTGACTGATGAAAGTCTTCGACCTTTATACTGGGAAATACGATAGGTAACTTTATCTGATATAAGGGTCGATGTCTTGTCTCTTATAATGGGCCAGTTTGTGTGTCCTAATGAATCTAAGACAGCAGTTGATCCTCAGTCTCAACTTGATCAGGGGATTATCCGTGTAATAAAGCACAATACAGACACTCATCACGCTTTCGTGTGGCTGAAATAAACCCATGGCCAGCACACAGGAGGCATGGTAATGTGTCTGACACAAACCTGTTTGTGAGGGAAGGTTCTCCTCTACATACCACGCCATCTGGAAACAAGGGGAGACAATAAACACCTCACTTCCACCAACCAACACATGTACGTATGTGCCGTGCAGATACATCCAGATGCTGCCTTTGGTAAGAAGAATGTGTTTCTTCTGTGCTGACTTCAGGGGGTAACACATCAGAGAAGAGAGAAATTTTCAGTCTCTAGAAGTGATGACGTAATCCCTGTTCGTGCCGCGTCCATTGTAGTAGATAAATGTACAGCCTCGCAGCCTAAAGCAGCAGGCGGGGAGTGCACTGCACTGTGAAGGTAAGAACTGGAGAAAGAGAAAAAAGATCCAGTCAAAAAAAATACTGAAAAACCATTCAAGACTCAATGACAGACCTCACAGGGAACTTAGATCGCTCATATTGATGGGATAAATTACAGAGTTTCTAAAGTTTCTTGAAGGCCTAAGGTGCTGGTATAAATTCCAAACATTACAGACAGCACAGAATGGGTAGGAAGAATTCCCATTGGGTCTGATGACTACTTGACCTAACTCTGGCACCAACAACACTCATGCCCAATGCAGATCTTCAGAAAGCTGAAGTTTTGGCACGGTCCTTATGCATCTGAATGGACATCACATATAAAAAGAAGCAAAGGATTAGGAGGAAAGCAGCCAGGTGAATGTGTGACAAGGTGCACCTTAATAACAACTACAGGCATTTCTAAAATGATTAATATCTAAGGACACCAGAAGTATGCTGTGTGCTTTTTGAGTCCAGTGTCAGACTGCTACTTGCTGAGGAACAGTTAGAACTGCTGTCAGCAACCATGCTAGTGGGAATTCACAATCTGTCCCACTGTGATAATGTAATCCCTGAGGCAGCAGACATGTGGCAAGCTGGTGAGTGCTTGAATACAGTGGTTCTTTGTGATGGAAGCTGCAGAACAGGAAAGCTTACAGGGATCCCAAAAAATAATCCAAGACCTGATGCCATGGCAAGATCAGCTGTAGCTGTGTCATTCCTGACACATTTTTATTTAACCTGCCCTTGCAGACCACTCAGAAGCCATGGTTTCACAGCACTGGCAGCAGTATGTTTCCATGCAACCTTCTTCGAATGTTCAGAAGCACATGGGTACACTGCCCATGGATGGTACACATACCATGTGTACCAGTAGGGGTATGAGAAAGTTAGTCTTTCTATAATGGCTTTTTCTGTACTTGTATATCATGTTTCTTGGCAGTCTCTTCTCTGCCAGGCTAAGCAACCTACTAGGAGATCACCCTACTCACAGATGGATCAGATAGATCTCATGTTTCTCTTGTCGAGTCCCTCTATCTCTTTCTCCTGATGGGACGCATCTTTCTTGGAGTACAGTGCTTAAAACAGGACCACAGCTTTAGAGCTGGACAGGGCAGAATGCTGACTTCACACGCTGTTTCACATCACATTCGTACTCAGAAACGCATTAAATTGGTGCTTATTTAGAACTAAAACAGTATGCTATTTTTGAACTTTACAGCTACTTCTTGTGAGCCCTGTGAAGGGTTTTATCACAAAAGACATCTGGGTTTTCCCTTCTCTGCCTCCTACTGGAATGAGGCAGCTTTAATTTCTACCACGGATTCTGTCTGATGTTCTCCGAAACAAGAGAATGGATTCAAGAATTTCTCTGTACATGGGATCAAGAGCCTAAAAGATACTCTTTGAACTAACAAGTCCCAGCCCCTGATATTACAACAGATTACAGCATGACCCCTGTCAAACATATTCAATGTACTCAGCTCCCTGAGGATGTCACCTGTGGTTTTTTTTGGTTTCACTCCTTCTAAAAGAAGATGGAAATGGAAATTCAGCCTAATCTCCTCTACACTCATTCACAACTGGTTCATATGGATGCACAATTCTTCCAGTAGTGTCTGTTATCTGAAACAGCTCTCCTATCCCTGTGATGCTTATTGATTTGACATAGTTTTTAACAGTATTTGTATCTCTGTCACATTTTCACCAGAGAAACTGCAGTAACTGAGGAGCCTTTCACACCACGACAGCCCAGGGACACCCTTCCTCCTGCAATAAGCCCTCTGCCAGGAGCGCTAGTTTAGACGTCAACACAGTTACGGCCCCCTCTGCCTCCAATGTCAAAGTCAACTCTGACAATGTTTTTCAAAAAACCAGAAACAATCAAGACTGCAAGCTCAAGTTTACCACTGCATCCTGTGGCAGAGGGAATCCTGATCTCCCTTTCTTTAATTACTTGAAGAAAAGAAAGGACACACACTGTAGAACCTTTATTTTGGAATTTAGATTGTAGGAACTGATTTGACTTCAGACAATGACAAGTAATCCAAATAATCCTACATTCCCCAGCCTTGTATGAGACTAGCTCCTTCTATTTCTGAAAGCCAAATTAGCAGCCTCACTGATTGATGCTGTATACTTCACAGCCCCCAAACTGGAAGCTCCTGACAATTCAAGGGACGTTAAGTCAGAAGACTGTTCTTAGAGAGAAACATATTAAAACAACAACAAAGACGTATCTTTTTAGTCGAGATTTTACACATACATAGACATTCACAAAGGCATACATTTGTTTTACCTTTGAAAGAAAGACAGTTATAAAGTTACTGCCCCTGCATGAAGGATCATGAAACACAAATAAATCAATTTCTTAAAAATTTCTAACATGATTTTATTCTGGCCATTAGCTAAAGATCAACTGCTACTGAAAATCAATCCTGTTAGGCCTTTTGAATAAAGCTGGGAAGACTAGAAATAAGGTCCTTACATAAGAAATCTACATCAACACTTCTGTTGGTGTGACTTCACTTTTAGAGTAGCATAATATACAAACTTCATTTATTTAGGTACCATTAAATCAAAACACTTGTCAACTAAATTCCTGGTGCTACTCACAATCTGAATATTTCCTTTATTAAGATGAGCCTCATACTTTTCAGATGTTTTGCCAGTGATTGACACGGCAGAGAGAGCATCAGTTGATACAATGGACAGCGTTGGTGGCTGCCGAAAGAACTCTTGATAATAGCTTCTAACCACCAAAGAGGCTTAAACCCAACAGGATGGCAAGAAAAACTCTTTTCTGAAAAGAAAAACACAGGACTACCAAACTGGAGTTAATAACAATACATACCGTGCTGCTGAGAATGACAGGAACAGGATAAGGAAGACAGCAGCAACTGACCCTAATCCAACAGCAGTCATGTATTGCAGCGTGGGTGATAACTCTGAAAGAAAATACCAAACAATTCAAATGAACACATACCAAATAGTGTAGTCTGGTGACTGACCAACTGAATCTGCTCCAAGATAAAGTACTGTAACAAAACTCAGATGCTGGACTTACTGCTCCATCAAGCAGTAATGGAGCCAACTATCTAGTAGTAACCATCCAGCTGGGAAATATGATTAAATGGTGTATTTCTCAGAACGCTTTGGGCATGATTCTTAATTAATTGATTGATTTATTGAACTAATTATTTATTCATTCATTCATTTACTTATTTATTTACCTACCTACCCACCCACCCATCCCAAGTGACAGAACAGAAATAAACCTGGCAATGACAGTCTTAACCAAGCCCATAACACCAGGAGCCGCTCAGGGACAGAACAGGAGGCATAAGTTGATTTTTTGTCAAAACCAGAATTACTAAGAGCTAGTGGTGAAGGTACCTGAGAAAATAGAAACTCAGTCCCCTCAAGGCACCTTTTCCCCATTTTCAACATTAGTCAATGGTTACCTATTTCTTACTGGATTTCCCACAGACAACTAGGGTGCTGGATTCCTATTCCCGCAAGATTCCCCAACTCTACGTGCTGTTAAATCTTCCAAGTATTTAATGACGTTTTAGCAAAAACTGAAATTCTTGCAAAAATGGCACTTAGTGAAATTACTTTATGTGTCCATGATGAGAATCCATGTGCCCAAACAACAGAAAAGCAACTTCTCTTACGTAAATTGAACTCTTTTTTTGGCACTTCTGAATGTGGAGGCACAAGACTGGCTGGGCATTCACCCAAAACACCCTCAGCAATCGATCTGAAGCACAAACCCATCATACAGAGCCATAACGAGAACCTGATCAGTTTACCA